CAGCCTGCTGCTGTGTTCGCACGCTGGGAATCTGTCTCTTAAAAACCAGAGGAGCGGCAACAGTCAATTCCGCTGTCGCTGCTCACCTTTCATTTCAGATCCCGCTGCGGAGCCAGGTGATTTCGCTCGGCTTCATTTGCTTTTGCAAAAAAAAAAAAAAAAAAAAAAGCCATGGGGATCACCATTAGCTTAAGACAAGTAATAACATTGATTCTCTGCTAACAACTCGCATCTCAACTTCTTCCAGCATTATGAGCTCAGGCTAACTGAGCCGACTGACTCGATTTGTGAAACACACACCACTGATACTTTGTAGGTGTTGGAAGATCTATTCAGCTTGTCTTTGGATGGGTGATTGTGATTCCTGTCGTAAGATCAAATCACTTCACAACAGTTGCACAATGTGATTTTAAGCGGTGTGTGTAGTCCTGTGAAAAACTATTGGCATGCTTTTGCCTTGGTTTTCGTCACGCTTGCTGTAAATGTTTCAGATCATCAAACAAGTTTCAATGTTGGGCAAAGAAAAACATGAATAAAAATAAAGTGAAACTTTCAAGCAAACAATTGATTCAATCAATCAAGTGTATTTGTATGGCACATTTCAGCTTTACATTATAAAAATATAAATCTGCTGTGCAGTCACCATTTGTTAAACCAGTAGCAGATATTATATTAATTTTGTGCAATCATCCAAACACATCAAATATGTTTGTCAGTGTTCTAGTTCCTACCTCAAGCAGCTCTTAACAAGTTTGTTTTGTGGTCTTGATTTAAAGGAAGTCAGTGTTCCAGCTATTTTACAGTTTTCTGAAAGTTTCCTTAAACCCAGCAGTTGTGCCAATCTGTTCCTCAGGTTTTGGCAGTAAATTCCCTTTCCAAAAATTGCGGAACAACTCTGGTTCCCTCTGCTTTGCGGAACAGTTTAAAAGCAGCTCCGCTGGTGGGTTTTTGAGCACAAGCTGTTTACTCCCATAATTTCTCCGAGTTTATTTTCCAGCTGTTTGGAATGAGCGTCTGCGCCTTTTGAAGTCAATTTTTCTTTGAAACAACCGTTGCAAATAAAAACTCCTGAGTTTGCTACTCATTCCACTGTGGTGTGTCAGTGGCAGTCAGCCTCTGTGCTTTTGCTAAAACAAAGAGAAAATAGCAGAAATTAGGTTTTATTAGGACAAAACAATGGTGTGCATTCAGTAAGTTTGGAAATTATGGCTTTTCTCTGGGTTGTTGTTTTGATCATTATTTTTTTCTTTATGGTAATAATATGGATATTGCACACCAATTCACAAATGGCAGTTTTGCGTAACTCGGACTGGAGGAGGATGTTGATCATGTTTGGTCATGTGACAGGGATAGTGATGCAGCAAAGGATTATGGGATGTTTATCTGAAGCAAAGAAGAAGTGGTTGCCTAAACCGTATTGAAATATAAATAAAATATTTTGATATGAATGTAAATGTTGGATATTTAGATCAACTCAAATTGCCATGTGGTTAAAATGATTCACTTTCAAGCGATCTATTAAACACAGTAAGTTAAGCCACATAACCGCAAAGGATATCGATGGTCGCACCAACAACAGTTTTAAACCATCTTCAGATTTTGTCTGATATTATAAACACTGAGTGTGAAAATGAGTGTTTAATTAAGCTTTAATCTTGTTGTAATTGTTTTGAAGTAAGGAAGGAAGCAGTTCTTGTGTTTCCCTGTGTCGACAGAGTTGACTAATAAAAACTGCTCATTGGCCGACTGGCAACACAGTTTCCTATATTACTTTATTCTTTCGACTGTGAAAACATAAAGCAGTCTCATTTCCACTGCTTTTTTTTTTTTTTTTTTCAGCTTAAGACGGCGGCAGAGTCCGGCGGTAACAGGCGCTTAAATTCCATATCAAGAGGTTGAGACCTTTTCCTGTTGTGGGCAACGGGGCCCGACAAATACCCGTGTTTGAACGGACGGCGGAGTCCAGCGGTAACAGGCGCTTAAATTCCGTGACAAAAAGAAAAGAAAAGAAAAAAAAAATTTATTCTATGTTGCTTGCCTTTGTGTTTTGTGTTTATGATGTAAAGCACTTTGAAATGCCTTGTAGCTGAAATGTGCTATACAAATAAAATTTGATTGATTGATTGATTAAGAACAACAAAATGCACCAACTACTGATTCTATAAAAATCTTTGCCCTATTTTTGGAAAATACATGTACAAAAATTTAGAGTTTATTTTCCAAAATACCTGTAAAATCTCATCACCCATTGTAGAACAACGATCAGTCATAAGGAGAGACGGGATGATGAGAACTTTTCTGGTGATGGTTTAAGAGGGCAGGAAAATGTGGTATTGGTTATTTACATGGAACATGTTCAGGAAGGGAAACATCTAATCCATGTTGAAATTCCTCAAACCTGGATTGCCTGTGTTGCCAGTTGCCAGTGTCGTACAGTCGGTCAAAACAGTGAGTGAAGAGGCAGGTGTATTAGTTTACTCTACTAGCACTTGGAGGAGCTTGACATGGGTCCCATTGTGTATTTGCATGTCGCAAGCTGATTTTTTTGGGTTATATCCCAGTACGTGTGGCATGTTTTTGACATGTCTGTGTACAGGGACACAACATATACAAATGAATCAAACGTTTCCAATGTCGGACCAATGGGATTTCCGTCATCTTAAGCCGACTCCCTGTAGAAACCTCGCTGAACTCTCTCTGATGGGATTGTTGTCTCATGAGGCATTTTTTTAATCTGGAGACATTACACTGTCTTCACTGTCAGATACTTCATTAATTGTGGAGCACAAAAAGGTCTCCAGTGTTTGGCTTATAAGAGACTGAGTCGTTTCGTTATAGCTGAAGGTTCAGTGTCAATTGATGGAAGAAATCGGTCACAGTTCCAAAAAACCAGGACATGCAATGCCTCATGCAGAACATACCATTCTGTCAGCATATGCAAAAGAATATGTATTTTGAATTTCATGTATTGATTTTTTTTTTTTTTTGGTAAAGTGCCTTGTGAATTGATTCTCTCAAATAAATTGAAATGAATTTAAATTAAATCGACTTCAACAGCAGCCAGAAGTAACATTGGTTGGATTCAATCTGAGTTTTTCTTGACTTCCCAGGTCTGCATAATGTTGTCTTACAATATATATTTTTTTACTTACGTCATCAAATTCTTCCACTCTTATTTGCGAATGAAATGCCTTTAGTAAGTGATGTAGGCATTGTTCAGTTTGGCCTGAGCAGTGCCTGGTCTGCACCAAACTCTGTGCAGGTCAACCAACCAACTTGGCAGTGAACTTTTTTTTTCACCATAAAGAGCAAAATAACTTTGTCCATTTGTTTCCCATGCTTCCCACCCATAACACTCACATCCACTCATCTCCGTCTGTTGATTTGAATGGATAAGCTGAAGCTGAGGCGAAAACCTCTGCTCCCCATCTGCCTTTTACATGATGCCTTTTCTTTAGCCTTTCCTGCTCTTGATGGAGCATTGTTTCTTTTGTTTCCTGTTTTGGTTGGGCTTGACAAACATATAGAAAGAGCTGGCAATCTGGGAGCCGCAGTTTGCGCGAAACATTCTAGAGCTTTTGTTCTCTTGGTTCTAGATTTTCCTTGTGAGAACAAAAAGGACAGCATGGTCAGAAAATCTTTATGCAAATAAACCGTGGTGATAAAGGCCGCTGCGCCTGTTGAAGCCTGGGTCTCTGAATAAGTCAGCAATGATCTCTTAATTCCACTCTCTTTAGAACACTTTAAAGCTGTATTTGCCATGGAGCTGGTTGCCATTCAAGGTGGCCAAACTAACTCGGGCAAGGCGGTGACTGGCCCTGATCTATATTAAGAGGACAACTGCAGGTCCGTTGCATAATATAGTCGGATTGGCACTGACATCAGAAAAGAGGTCAGCCAGTGGCGGCTTTCTGCTGCAGAGCCTTTGCAGTATCAGTCGGTAGACATGTTTACATTACCTGGCCTTGCTGACGGGGAGTCACCCCTTCAGACATTCAGACATATTCAAAGCCTTTCCTTCCTCAAAACAACATTAAATTCTAAAAATACAGCTCTGTTTAAATATATCTGCACTATCTGTCGTCTTTTGTTGCTTTGTGCCTCCCACGCATTGTCATTCGGATCGTCAGTCTACAACCCCAAAGCACTAATCTCACAATGAGAACGTCAAAGAATGGCTTTAAATAGACCCCATGTTAGATTTAGTTGCTCCTTTTGTAGTCTGAGGAATCAGACTAAGCGGTTAGTCAAGAATAATTTCTTACATGTCAGTCAAGGTAACAATCAAAAGCAGGTCAATTAAAATGACAGATTTTGTTAGAAGTGAACAAAGATTTTCCAATTCAGTCGACGTTATATCGCATGAATTTACTCTTCTGAATTGATTTTTTTAGTGTTTTATTGTTTTGTTTTGGTTTACGTTTTACAATTTCCCTAATTCATTCCTATGGATGTGTTATTTCTGTTATCTAATCCCAAAGAGGAAGCCAGCAGATATTTGAGCGATTTCAAATATGACACTTGTTTTCCTGAGGAGATCAAGGTCTCCTCTCTGACCCTGGTTACATGGAGGAAAACCTGCTGATATGCTTGTTTGGTTAAAAAGAAAATAGTGCAAAAGTTTTGGGGAAAGAGGAGTTAGCTAATGTTGTGTAGATAAGAACAAAGTAATAGTTTTAGTAGAAATTTGTTATTTATTTATTTATTGTGGAAGCATGAGCTGTCCTACAACTAATGATTGTTAATAGAGACAATTATATTTTAGTGTGCAGATGCACACTCAATTCAAATGAAAACATAGTTTGTGTTTTCAAAAAGAAAAAGTCTCTGAAACACTGACGTCATCACCGCGTGTGACAGATTGAAGAAATCATAAAAATATTAACGAAGGTCCTCGAGAGTAACCTGGAGATGTTGCTCAATTATTAACTGTTCTCTGGTCATAATCACACTGGATGTGGTTCAACTGATTGCCAATTGTTATCTCTCTTGATTCACAGAGTTGGATAGACGTCTGTGTCCATTTCCTGCTGTTCATGACGCTTGGGGTACATTCAACTGCAACTGGAAAAGTGGTCAATGATATTGACATAAGAGTCCCTGATTTGGTAAGATTTGGAAATTAAATCATTTAGGCAACATTTTTAAAGATGAATTAGATACTGTTGGTGTTTTCTGTACATAAAATCACACTAAACATAGAGTGATTTTACCTAAACATTTCCTGCGTTAGTCATTTTGTTCATTTAGTAAATACCAGAATAAAGAAGAACAGAAGATTTAGAAGACCAAGTTGTACGTTTTCTATTTGGGAGACCCATTGGTGCCCAAGTTTCAATATTCGGCAGACATCTGGAAATGTTGCTTTAATATTTCCATGTAAACTTCTTCCCACATGATGCTCTTCATTTTGTTAAATGCAGATTTTGCTCATCCAACGATGTCTCATGAGGAAGAGGTGTGTTTGGTAATCCTAACTAACCCTACAAAAGGAAGTGTTTAGTTTTATTTTATGCCAGTCAGTGGAAAATAAGTGTGTATGTAAAACCTTTGGATTCCAGATGTCTTCCCTAAAACACTAAAATGTTTTTACTTTTGTTTCAACAGAGACAAAATATTCCAAAAGATTACAAGATCCCCATCAAGTTCATTCCCAAAGAAACGGTACGTCGTCTTCCTTTCTCCCTATGTTCTTTAATAAATACATTTAAAAAAAAATTACTGATAATTTGGCAATCAATCAAGTTTATTTGCATTACACATCTCAGCAACGAGGCAGTTCAAACTTTACATTTTGATGAGTGTCGTCATTAAAATCATTAATTTACATCAAATATATTGATACATGTTCCATTTATTACAGTTCAAAAGGAACAGGTAGATTTTTAAGATTAAAGAAATTCAGTGTTTCGGCTGTTTCGCAGTTTCCAGATGTTTGTTCCAGATTTGTGGTGCATAGAAGATGAATGCTGCTTCCCCATATTTGGTTCTGGTTCTGGGGATGCAGAGCAGAACCAGAAGACCTGAGCTTTCTGGAAGGTTGATACAACGACAACCTTTGTTGTAGCAATGTATCAACCAAGTGTTTTCAATCTTTAAAGTATTTTGGTTCTATGTTGTTCAGTGATTTATAAACTATCAGGAGTTGTTTTTTTTTAAAGCATATTCTCTCAGTGGTTGGACTTTAGAAATGGGTGATCTTCTCTATGCTCCTGGTTTTAGTCAGAACACCAGCAGCAGCGTTCTGGATCAGCTGATTGATTCTTTTTAAGTAGACCTGAGAGGACACTGATAAACGCAAGGATGAGTTTAATACCTTTAAGTTAAAAGATTAAAATCTTCACTACCCAAACATTATGACCACTGAAAGCTAAATAAATAAATAAAATAAACACTTGTAAAAGAGGCATTATGGCAATCACAGGTTACTCGCAGTATTCCAACACCCTCAATTTTATGAACGTTTCACAGGGTGGGACAACCAAGACATTTGGCCTTGCAACTGACTTTATACTTCCAAACTCATAGGATGTGATGAATTCTATATGTTTTGTCTCAAAGAACCAGGCAGGAATCTATCAGTCTGAAAGACTAATGTCTCCAGTTCCAGACAACCCAAGGTCATACTGTCATTCCTAAATGTGTCCATTTCTTTCATGATGTCTTTAAGTGAAACCAGCTGTGCTGAGATGACTTTTATAACTAAAACTGTTACATATTTTTCACAGATTTTCTGTTGTTTTTTTTGTTGTTCTTGTTGTTTCTGTGTTTTTCCTCCAGGGCGACATGTGTTGGGCAAAGTTAAACCTTTACTACTTGGAGGAGAGCTTGAAGGATTTATCTGAAAAGTTTGGAAACATTTCATCTAATAATCAAAACATACAGATACTCATCCAATTCATTGAAGAGAAGCGGATAGGAATCAGTAATATGGCGAGTTCCCATAATTTATTATCATATAAATAAATAATGGCTTTGCTGACGATCTGGAAGTCTTTATAGTGGCATGTGATTGTATCTGCTTATGACTAATGGCTAATGCCTCCGTTCTCATCCTTACAGAATCCACAAATGTTAGAGTTTGAGTGCCACTACAGAGTCGGTAAGTGGGAAACAGGGAAATATTTTAACTTTGTCGAGGAGGTGTGTAAAACTGCAGACGGAGAAAGACCTGAAGAGGAATGTGATCCACCTCCCTGTCCCACCACACCGATACCAACAGAAGAATCCTCTTCAGGTACCGTCGGCTGAATTCTTCTTGTGTTTAGAGGAAAAAATGTGACTTAGATAAGAATCAACCAACAAATATTCAGCAGGAAAAACTTAGTGAAGTCTTTAAAGTTATGTGTGTGAACATATAGATGAACTACAGCATGTGGGTTTAGGTTTGGAGTCAGTTTGACTAACATATATAATGTTGAACTTTATTTATGATTTGCTAATGAAGACAAAAAGAAGCAAAGAAGAAAGAAAGATTTCAATTTTCAAAAACACGTTCATTCACTCAGCAGTGATCCACATAAACGTTCAACTCAAATTCATGAAAACACATCCCCAAATGAAAGTTCAGAATTATGAACAATCCTAAAATGAACAGGACACCTTCATAATCCCAGATATTATGAAAAACATCCAGCTCAGCCATTTGGAAATAATATTGCGCTAGTCACACTCTTGAAAAGCTGTGCAATGTCAGTTTACATTTTCTACTCAAATAAAACGCCAGCCTTGGTTGACCAGGAAAAAAATTCAACAGCTGTCGTTTTTTTCTTCTTTCTTTTGTCACATGAAAAACCAAAAATGAAACTGTTCTGTGAAACTTTCTCCGAATCCCTGAGTCGTGTAAATAAATCCACTGTTCTAAAAACCAGAACTAAAGAAGCTGCCTTTCTAGTGAGCATATTTAGAAGTTTCAGTTTGTTTTCCCAAAAGTGAGATGTTTATAGCCTTATGAAATGTTTCTGCTGGATTTTGCGGAATACGTGTAAACTACAATGCTTGAATGGAACTGCTTGTTTGTGAACCTCAGAGGGTTATCTTGATTCAGACTGCTGCCGAATTTAAACTCTCTCCTACGTGGCCAATGCTTTAGTGTGTGGCTGATCCTCTTCAATAGCTGAATGGTGGCCTAAATTCTTGTATAACAAAGAGCAGACTGTTTTGTTTTTGGCCTGAGGGGGTCTCAGCACATGTAAATCCTTTATCCTATGGACTGAGACAAAAACAGAGAAGATCTCATGTACAGATATAAGTTTCAAAAGTTCCCAAGATTTTTTTGTCTTTTTTTATCTATCTACAATGGCTCCAGTGCACCGTTGTGCACTTCCTTACTGCAGGCTATGAGCAGATCATAATAATTCCATTTAAATCTGAAACTGTCAGGGACTAGCATGCATTCAGTTCCAAGACAAGAAGGTGAAACATATTAGAGGTCAAGACAAAGCACTTTTTTTTTTACGATATTGTGGGAAAAATACAAATCCGAAAACTTCTTTAGAGAAAGGAATCTGTGAAAGTTTCAAAATACCCCTGTTCATATTGACGTGTGTTTTGGTTTTTATACTTGTTTAATTGTGAGACAGTCCTAAGGGAATATATCCTCTTCAGGTTAGACTACCCAAAAATTTCAATTCAATACGTCAACATATGTTCACTCAAGTCACATAAAAATGTAGCCATCCTACTTAGGTTTAATTAAGTAGAAGCAGAAAATAATATTGGCTGAAAATGCTACTGAAGTACTGAGTAACTGATTTAATATTTTATAATAATGTCACCTTATAAACGTATAAATCAGCAAATTCTAGTATTTTAAATACTAAAATGAAGGGGGGAAAAGTAATTCTAATACTAGTAACTAGTTACTACATGCATAAAACTACAACTGTTAACTCATTAATGGGCTTTATCCCCACCTATTGTTTGGGAAAACTAGTCAACTCTGTGTGAATGTCTTTTTTTCTTTGCACACTTGTTGGTGGCTTGTTACACAAAGACCAACAACCCACCCAAAACGGACCCTCATGTGGGTCCTGGCACGCCAATTAAGAGAACCTGCCATAAAAAATACTTTGCCTTCTTATCAAAAAAAAAGTTCACAACAAATTGACAACAAAATGTACACACTGGCTGAAAATTTTTGGGATCTCACCGGAACCACTGCAGGAAATGCTCCCTTTCCACCATCCCCAAAGCTAATCTCCAAATCCTAACCAGCAGCAAACCATGCTCCTGCTTTGCTTCCGATTGTGAAACTGCTGCCACCTGGTAAGGACCATTGTGAGCGAGCTGTATTTAGGGCAGATCTCTTGTGGCTTTTTAGGAGAAGCTTTAAATCTGCCACCATTATTTCCACACAAGAACTCAGCAAGATAAAAACTCAGGACTGGCCTCAGTGCTTAGAATCCCCATTGAGACACGTCTGAGTCACAGGACTAAGGGAAGATGTCCCAAGGTAGCGCGGTGTTTAAAAGGAAGAAAAGGGCTGAAACCTGATTGTATACGTGTTGATTACAGAGCAATCTTCCAATCTTTCCAAAGCGCTTTTCTTTTTTTTGCCGCCAGATCAGATGTTTTTGTGTGTTGTTTCAGGGGGGAGGGTAAAAGGAGTACCTATGAAGTGACTATTTAGCGCCTAACAATGAATGTTTTCATCATCAGTCAGTTACTCTTCACTCTATCGGTCTTTTGTCTTCAGTTTTTGTCACTGTCTCCTGAACTCCCTTTTTTATTTTCTTGCTTTCAGTTCAGTCTACGTCAAGCCATGACACGTCACACAATATTGCTACTATAGACATTACACGCTCATCAGGTAAGGTCTCTCATCAACTTTTCGATAGACCAACTTTTTCTTCTTGATTTGATATGTATTTGTTGTATAACTATTGCCTTGTGTTCTTCACACAATCTCCCTTTAGCCTTTCTTCTGGCTGTAGGTGAATAGAAAGTCTGTGGTAGCTAAGTTCAGTTAAAGTTGTTTCTGTAGCAGTTGGAGGGATTTTGTAATGTCGCAAAGGTATGACTGGTTTCTGTAGTCATGAAAAAATGTAAGAATCTGGGCGATATAAAGATTTGGGAGGGATATTGTTAATTTGGGAAAACCTTAGAAAGTAGTTAAGTTCCATTGGAGGTGAATTCATCTTCATCACTGCAGACAAAGCGTTTGCATAACATAGCATGAGATTAAGCAACATAATCATTGGGTTATTGCTGTAACTTTTGATTGTCACTTGTTTAAAATCAAAAGAGGTGTTATCTGTATATTCTATAAACTGCATGGCACCTTTTTTTTACCTACATACAAAATAATGCTTTGCAGCCTGGATTAGCAAGAGATCAAATTAAATTTGGTTTAATGATTATGGGACCTCTGGAGATGATGATGCAAAGAAGGATTCTTCATAAAATCAAGAAAAATTTTAGACAACCCTGACCTATCCTCTCCATGAGACTGTCTTGGGAAGGCAGAGTATCTTCAGTCAGAGGCTTCTTCAGATTTACTTCAATACAGAGAGCTAGAAGAAAGCTTTCCTGCCAGCAGCCATCACCATGTACAATAACTCTTAAAAGAATTAATGAGTTACCACAACATTTAACTTCCCTTTGGGGTTAATAAAGAACTTTTGAATTTGAATTTGAGTATCAGATGTCTTGATCTATGCCTTAAATAAAACCCAAGGCAGAAATGTAATAGTGTGTTGGATTAATAGCATGTTACATAAAGGCATAGTTTCAACTTATGTTTGTCAGTTGGGAGTTTTGTTACATCCCATATTTTTACTCAGAAAAGATGTTTGTGGAAACCTGTAAAAAACACAACATAAACAAGATAAATGAATGTTGTTTATAATAAGTTAAATGGAAACCAAAGACTCGTCTTGACCTCTATTGCTATGTAAGCTGTAAATGCTGGACTACTGAAAATATCCCATAGTCATCCACGAGTGTTTCAGTTGAACATCAACAAACTCCCTGTTGCTTACAATATAGCTTACAGCGGCATCACCGCAAGTTAGCTTGAAAATTTCTCTACCAGACCGCAAAGATGAGGCGAAAACCGATGATGAAAGTTAACATCTTCGTAGGCCAAGGTGTTAACTTGGCCTACGAAATTCTCTATTTCTTCAGAGCTCTAAGAAAGTGGCATTCAGGTAGCTACTTACATCAGTTAATGAATCTGCTGCAGATCGGTTGGTCCAGATGCCACATCACACCAAATGTCTACTGGTGGTTCTACATCAACAGTTTGAGCTCATTTTTGCTGGCAACAGAAGGAACTTTTTTTTTTTCTCCGAGTTTTTGCGATACTCGTATTTTTGACAGTTGGCCGACAGGAAGGAGGGCAAGGAGAGGCGTGCTAACCCCTGCGCCACCACAGCACGCTCCAACAGAAGGAACTTTTGACAATTTCACACATGGCGATTGTACAATAAAAAATAGCACTAATTGCTTTCTTTATCTACTGTATGTCAAATCCAATATTGGCTAGAGGCAAAAGATTTAACAATGCTTTAAATAATTACAACCTGTTATTAGGAATTTTATGAGTTTTTCTTTTTTCTGTTTTTCCATTCTAGCTTCTTCGCCAAGTCCCCTTCGCCAGGTGGTGGAGAAAAGCCTTTTCTCCTTACTGTTTATCCCACTGCTGGCCCTAATCTTCCTGCTTGTGTGGAAGGTGAGCTAACGTTTAACCCCATAAAACTTCACGAGCTGCTCCAGAGATAATATCAGTTTCTCGAAGGGTTTATGGTGATGTTGGAAGATACTTATCTCCGTTTTCCACAGCATTTATTGTAATCGTCGGCAGCCTTTCAACTTTCTGCCGACACTCACTGAAGAGCCTTGTGAGCGTTTGGCACATTATTGTTATATATTTCTTTTTTAACTCTGCAGATCAGGTCAAGAAGGAACATAGAGCATCCTCGGTCGAATCGTGGAGAAGAAGAAGACTTTACAGAACCACATCTGATGGCACCTCAGCAGGATGGTGAATCGTCAGAAAAGTAAGCTGCTCCTGTTGCTGCTTCTCATGTTTTCCGCAGCCTGTGCATCTTGCAAATGAATGCAATTAGCAACTTAATTGTTATTTGTGTTCTTTTTGTGTTTTGTCTAATCTCTTGTCATCAATGATGTGAGGTCTGGACTCAGTTATTTTAACTTCTGAGGATAGAAAAATTTGCAGTGAACAAGAAAGCAGTGGAAACACAAACCACAAAGTCGTATAACTTGATAAGAAGCAGGTGTGCTCTTAAATAAGCTATATGCACTGTAAAAACTGTGAAGTGGTACTTTTTTTGAAAGAATTGGGACTTTGTCCAAAGGCAGGGTTACTATACATTTACACTATGGAAGGTCATTGAACTTGAAATCATAAAAACAACAATACATCTGGATCGCAGTGTCTCAGCTGTTTGAGCTTTGAGAATTTGCATTGAGTTTGTAAAGCACTCACCTTTACTTAACTTCGCCACTTGAATCCCCACAATAAGCGTAAAATATTGTCAGTATAAATGGCATGATATGTCAGAAGTACTTGGGGTACTACCAAAATTGAGCAGGTTTTATATTGTCTTTTCCTCCATTTAAATAAATAATACTCTAGTTTTAGAATTTCCTACTCAATTTGAACATAAAAACAGTGTGTCAATATAACATTAGAAAATGCAAAAACTTGACCTGTCAGGTTGAACTACAGTCTTCAATAAACTCATATCTTGCTTCTGCTGTCAATGTTTAATCCAGCAGGAAAACACTTTTGCCAAAGCTAGCGTTAGCTTGTCTGAACTTTGTTTTTATATGACTTGTTCATAATTCATCTCATAGCATCTTTCAGTGCCAAACAAAACTTTCAGAAAGACACTTAACACTCAATTTTGGATGTTGTGGAACTAAATGTGATTGCGCTGCCCTCCATAGTGGCTTCCATCAGCTCCGACAGACTAGTGCCAGCAGAAATTAGCAAACAATTGGTGGGAATGCATGTCTGCTGAGCTTATTAAACAACTACAGCACTGCTGAGAACTGTTGGAAGCGACATGGAAGAACTCTGCTGTGGTGGCGAATTGGAAAGGGTTAGAGGTTTTTAAAGAGACTGAGGCCAATTTCAAGGGATGAGATTCAGCCATGATGTGAATTCAACGCTTTTTTAAGTTATTTTTTGGTACATACAGCAATTTCATACCATCTGTAGGTGACATAAGTATTAGGTTAGATCCTTTAAAGGATAAATTTCAGGTGAGGGCCATATTTGTAGTTACTGGCACTTATCAGAAAAAGAGAAATGTTCAACAAAAAAGACCCAGTGGTTTCAGACTTCAAATAATGCAAAGAAAAACAAGTTCACATTCATTTAGACAGAATAATTCTAATGTTTGAACTCAGGAAGAGTTCAGAAACCAATATTTGATGGAACAACTATGAGGTGCAGTGGGCTCTCATTTTTTTTCCAGAGCTGTAAAACAATCTCTTCTTTTCTTTTTCCTCAATACCAGTGAAGTCGTACTACTCTTTGAAACAATGTAATTAATGATAAATTGCAAACATTCAAAAACCGGACTCGTTGTTGCTCAGTCTGTCGGTTCAAAATTGTGGCAGATTTCCTTTCTCACACCCGTGCTGCGCATGGCTTGCTCTGTATGCAAGCCAAACTCTTCCAGCAGGGAACTGAAAACGGTGTCATTTGAATCTCAAGGCTACGGCTTCTCCCGTAAATCTGCCATGGACAGTCACAAGGAAGCATCGCTCACAGACCGCAAGCGAATTTAACTTGAGACCAGCGCATGACGCACAGAACGGTGAAATTAGAATATGTCTAATTTTCAAAGAGGAAATATGCTGCGTTTAATTGACGTTAGCAATTTATCCAGATACATTACGGCACATTAAAATTGTCTTTGTTGATTTGTGTGGAGTGGTCACACCGCTTTCACTCGATGAGGGTTAAAGCATTTAATGAAGCAGTGAACACACTGCCCACTGCCATCACCATCTGCAGAAACACTTTATTGAAAGTTGCGTCAGTTGAATAAAAATGATTTTTAAACTGAATTTCATGTACAGTGCCTGGCTAAAGTATGCGCAACACTGAAGCGTCTTTAAATTTTACAATATTTCAACCTCAATTCTCACTGCTTCTGATTGGATTTCATGCGATAAACTGACAAAGCACCATACCTCTGTGTTGTGGAAGCAAAATGATGTAGTGAATGTTTGGTTTATAAATAAAAATCAGGGAAAAAAATGGTACTTGACATGACTCTTTACACAATCTTTTCAAAACTGCTCCAGCTCCTCTATGTGGCCTGTGCAACGTGTCTCTAAACAGCAATCTTCCAAGTTTCCAAATTCTCACTGAGTTGTCCTGTTGGAAAGCAAACCTTCTCCAAAGTCTCAAATTGTGTCCGGCCTCCTTTGGTTCCATTTATCGTTTTATGAGTTTTTGTTTTGTTTTCTGTGCTGTTTTTTTGTTTTGTTTTGTTTTTTCCAGTTTTTACAGTGGCTTTCTTTTGATTCTTCCATAAATCTCAAACTTTTTGGGTGGCAATCGAATTCTACTAGCTAACCTGGTGACTTATGAGGGCAATTCACTTAATGATTTTAGAGGTATTGGAGTAAAAGAGGCTGAACACGTCACTGATTTTTATGCCTGAAGATGTTTTAAAAGTCACACACAGCTTTGTTGTATTTTCTGTTTCACGACCATGCACCAATTTGTGTCGCTTACGCACAAACAAAAGTTCCAATAACATCCATGCAGGTTTGTGGTTCGAACATGACAAAATGTTAGAGATGATTTTCCTGGACGCCTTCTAACATTCGCCCTGCTTTCCTTTTTCAGAAATGCGCTGAACATCCCCGTAGAAGTGTAAAGCTCTGCAAATGAAAGGGCGCTAGCATATTTGGTGAGTTTTTATTTTTATTTAAACGTTGTGTCCTACATAAAAGCAGGGGAAAGAAAAGAAATTGACCTTCTGTGCTTCTCTAACACCTTTCTCCACATTCTCCTCCCCAGGGCTGTGCTCCTCTCTCTTTCTTTTTTTTTTATCTGAAGGTGTTCAAAGGTGAAAGACAAACACGAACTTGCACACCACAGTGAGACTGTAGAGATTGAGAGGCCTGTTTTGACTGCACTCCAGATTAATGGTGGAAAACATTGACTGCGAGTTTTGTCAGGTTTAATCAAACTTGACACTGTTTTTTTTCCCTTTTTTATAAAACAACATTATCCCCGTGCTTTTTGAAAAGGACTAAAGATTTTAGCCGATAACCTTTACCCGTCCAAGCCCTAGACGCCCCCGGCTCCAAGCTGTCATTCATCATGACCTGCATCTTCGACCCTCTGGGGGAAAACTTCGCATATTTATCGATTTCTTTTTCTTTTTTTTTCTTCCCCTCCAGGTTGCCATGTTTGCTTCTTGTTTTGTTTTTTTTCCCTCCAGGCTGCCATGTTTGCTTCTTCTTCTTTTTTTTTCTTTTTTTTTTCCCGCCTGCTTTTCAGTCGTCAAATGTACAAAGACAATGTGACTGATGCCGGCAATATCTTGTTTGAACTGGGGCATGAATTTCTACCTCTGGTAACGCTTCATGTTAACCACATCCTCAACAGCTCCCCCACTTTTCTTTTCTTTTCTTTTTTTTCTTTTTAATTTTTCAGTGTCTGAGGTTCTCCAAAGAATAGCAATGCTGAGTGTGGTTGGCCCCAAAGTTCAGTCACAGTAGTCTGACTTGTGTATGTTCCCAAGAAGAAGAAGGGGGGAGTGGAGGGTATGATGTATTTATTTATTGGTGGTTGGCACTCAGTGGCTACTCTTCCAGAGCTGAAAGATTTTTGTTTAAGGGCACCTTTTACTCATGGATCACATTTAAAAATTAAATAAATAAATAAAAAATAAATCTCTGTACCAACATATTGTAAAGCTGAACACATTATCCTCTTGAGCAAATTATGCTGTCTATTTCAATGTAGTTGGCATATATATATATATATATATATATATATATATATATATATATATATATATATATATATGCCTTGAGCCACTTTGAATGTGTGAATTATTACATGGAGATAAAACATGTATTAAAAGTATGCTGCTTTGACTAACCCCCCATGTACGCTGTTCAGAACTGCTAATCCGTAAACTGGGATGAGACGCGTGGATCCAAAGTTTAGTCACACAGTCGGAAGCTGTGGTTTCCATTCCGAATGTACGCAAATCTATGTGGCTTTCTGCTGATGTTGGGGGGGAAAAACACACACACACACACACACGCACGCACCCCCCTCTCCCCCCACACACACACACACAATTTTGCAATTGCTGTGTTTCCGTTAAGTAAGGAATTAAATTAGAATCGTACTGGAAAAATTTTGTTTGCGCGATGAGTCATTAAAAGCCCTGGTCAAACAGTTACATGAGATGTATTCAGGATTCAGACACGGCGCTCAACGTGTATCGGCCAATCAAAGGAGGCATGGGCGTCTGATTCAGGTGTTAAGAGTGACATGCCGCGCCTACTCTGAGTGGCTATGTTTGCAGCATTTCGGAGAAATTGCAGCTGGTGATTTTACAGAAGAGTTATGGATTTAAAACTTCGGAATGGAACTCAACTTTTTATTCACTATGATGCTATGGGAGCTCTGATGGAATCAGCCGGGCATTGTCTGAGAAAGTTGCAGTAACATCTGCCTGTCTCCGTTGCAGTTTTATGAAATACATCTATTTGGAAATAGCCCCCCAAAAAATCTCATCCTAGAACAAAACATTTTATCTTAATTGGAGCATTTCCATGTTCCTATTTTCAATTTGTGTAATCTTATGGCGAATGGAAACGCAGCTAATGAAGGAACAGGATCAGCTGTCGTTCCTTAGTAAACATCTGTTAATTTTTGCCTTTTATTTCTTTACACGTCCTGCATATGTACTTTGCAAGACACCGCCTGTTGCCAGGGAGACCTTTGATGGCCATTTTCATCTGAATGATAAAAAAGTAAAAGATGTTAAAAAAAAAATTCTACAGTCCTTTTTAAAAAGTCATAATCCATAAAGCAGCAGATTAAATCTTTAAATGTTTAGTATAATTTCTGCTTGTCATCTGTATTATTGATGAAGCTCAGCATAGAATACAGCCTGAGGTATGTGGGCAGATTGTTGCTGCTGTTTAGGCATCAATTATCAGATTTCCTTTTAGAAAGCAGATTGTTGGGGAATATATGATCACATATTGGTGTTATCAGTGGCATTAATTGGGAATAAGAAGGCATCTGTAAGGCATTGGCAGGATTTGCAGGAAGTAAACACTATTGTTCCTAAATTTTCCAGGAAAATGTCTGATAACATTGTAATCACACCACCCTGGCTGAAATGGATAGTTAAACATTTTTAAAGTGAAGTTATGAGGCGCTTATGAACAATCAATACCTTACCGGCAATCCATTATAGATGCTGATCACTTACATCTGACCTCAAAAACAGTCAAGCGGTTTATGCAAGTTCAAGGAATATTTTGGCTCATGTCTCATTTGAAAAATATAAAGGATTCACAGTAAAAGTCACTGGTATAAAAGTGGAGTTAAATGCTTTTTGCAATAAATTGCTGTCAGTTTTATTTTAATCAGCCAAAAAAGTAATAGTTAACTCCTAACTAGTCCAGGCTCCTACTGGATCAGTCATCATAAATGTCTTTTCTGATTTACAGTAAATGTAACACGAGAGTTATCAGCAGCATCTAACATAAAAAACCCCTCCAACCTAAAGACACTATGCAAACTTCTTTTTTTTGTGTATTTTTACTTATCGTTTTCAACAAAAAAATCTAATACTGGCAGTAATAACCTTCAGCTTCACCTAATCTGTCTGAAACTGCAGAAGGAAATGTGTCGTTTTCCAAATGCATTTTGCGATGAAACCTGTTTACCGTTGCCCTCAATGAGCTCAATAACACGGACAAAGTTGGTAGTAAAATACATGCATGGGGAGTTTCTATGTTTCATCTGTTTTAAGTCTTTAAAGGTTCTTGTGAATCATCCAGCAGGTCGTACTACGCCACATTTGCTACATTTATTTGAACAAAGTCGTGTGATGTTGCAGCAATCCCTTTTTGTGGAAAAGCAAAAACAGTGGAGTGCAACCACTCTCTTGTGACAGGAATCTCCCCCAGCTGAACTGAGGCGCGACAAGCCGGCTGCACCTTTCTCTGTGAAGCAGTTCTGTCTTGGAATCTCAAACAAATTGGCCAAAACCGTTATCTGACCCTGGAGACTTTCTGCAGAAGTGTTGTTGCTTGAATACTAGTAAACCCTTAGAGAACCTGCCAGGGTTCAAAACTTAATGGTGAACACTGAGCTTATCCCGGAGAAATGACATACAAACTAAAATTTTCATTTTTATATATATATATATTTTTTTTTTTTGCCTTAAGACACTGTCCACAGAAGTGCACTGTGACCTCATATCTATATTAAATAGCTGCAAAAATTTGGAGGTCTTCATGGTTAACTTTTTTATTGTGTGAGTGTGTATTAGAAGCAATCATCTGCCCACAGTTATCTGAAATTAGCAGGCATGCTTCTGCACTTCCTGTCACCATGAGCAAGGAGCTTCCCCCTGCGGTCGGCATCGGACGATAAGACTATTCAGATCAGACGAAACATGATGGTCATGAAAAAAAAAAAAGCAAAAAGCAAAGGTTTGACCTAGCAAGAACAACGCAGATCAGTGTAAGAAAACAGAGCTGAACGTCATTACAAGGCAAGTAGGAAGTTAGGAATGAGAACAGGATACACTGGTTGTGACCTTTGCCCTTTGCAGTTAGACAACTAGCTGATGGGACGCTAGAATCTGCTGCAGGTTTTAGTGGACATTTCACATCATCATATTTGTGGTCTTAAATTGTTCTATTTCCACTCTTGTTTTCGTGCCTTGTTTGATTAGCATATTGGACTCTTGTGTTTGTAAAAAAAAAAAAAAAAAAAAAGAGTCTGCAGCCTATTTGTGCATTCCTGTGGCAGCAGAAACATCATCCGGGGTCAGTCACTTCTGTTACGAGAGAGGTCAGTCAGCTTGACCTGGAACCAGTCATAAATTGGTACTTGTATTTTTTTGTTTGTTTGTTTGGGTTTTTTTCTGACAACGTAATTCTTTTACATCAGCAGAAGGAATCAACAGTGGTTGTGACATTTCTTTCCGCGTCAACTTGTTTAACCTTTGCAGACATTAGAAGCCATTTCAGCCATCAACTGCTTGTTTTCTGTGTAATTGGAGCTATATACTGGGAATTTTTCTTATAGAAGACAAGAGTATATTGTGCAGAGTTTGATTGTGTGTCTTACAGAAGAAAAGGTATACCACATTGGTGTTCGTATGTTTCTGATGAGCAGTCATCCTCAGCTCGTATTAGCTAGAACTTCCTCGGTGTGGTAAAACGTATTGTTTATTGTGTTAAGGTGCAAGATAACAACATTACAAGAGCAACAGCAACAAAAAATAAGAGTGGTAACACATTAACTGTGCCATAATCTTTATGGCTAAGTCTTTGTCTCAAAATATACAGATATTTCACGAAGGAACATCAGAAATTAGCGGTGAAGGACTGAGATTTTTATATATTTAAAGATGGATTTGTAAACAATATTGGAGTAATATATCTATGACAGGTTAGACCAGTGACTTTCTCCTCCGTCATCGCTAGCAAGTACTTTTCTACATCTCTAAATAAACATTAAGTCGTCTGTCGTCCCATGCAGTTTCCAGAGAGACGGGCTCGTCTACCCACAAACTAACAAACAAGGCATCCTGTTGCTTTTTCTTTTTTTTTTTTATATATAGTCTACATGAACGTAAGAGCTGTAACGGGTCTAAGCTGTGAACGAGTAAAAAAAAGAAAGGAAAAAAAAGCATAACACGGTCTCCCATTTTCCTGTCTACGTCGAAGCCAGAGACTGTTGGTGTGTCTGATGCAAAGCGAAGCAGTTGACGTGCATTCGTCGAGAGCATGACTGCCCTTAAACACTGCTCCCTTGTGTGTTGTTCTGTTTGGCAATACGAGAGTAGACCCGCATCCTGAACAGTGCTTTTGGGCACGAGCGATCCAATTTGGCCCGTCGCAGTGGGCTGACCAAGCAGCTCTAGGCAGGAAATAAGTCTGGGTGCCAAAAAAAGAGCAAATGTAATTATAGCCCAGCTGATATTCAGGGCATAAACAAACAAACAGCAAAAAATAAAACACACACAAAAAAAAACTTAAAAAAAAACTTTAAAAAAGCACCAAAAAACATTAAAATGTCTACTGTATTCTGTATTTTTGTATAAATGTAAACAAGCATATATGGATTATGAATAAAGTACATGTATCCAAATGATATTTACTGGTTTGTGTCTTGTTTCTTATTTTTTATTTTCTTTAATCTTCGCTTTTGAATACGGTCTAGGTAGGTTGTTTAAATTTGGGCGGATTTTCACAACATTTGCCAGGTTTTTGGAAGGATTTCAGAGGAAAATTCTTTTGAAATGGTTGTTATAGTGACAAAACGTTTAATAAAATGCTCTCAGTGAATTTATTTTTTAAATCTCTAGAATCTGTCGAACGTGACATCAACGATTAATCAAGTGTCACTATGCTGTGGTATTGTAAAGCAGAATCCCACAAAATAAGACATATCAAGTTGTTTGCGGTCCCAATGGCATCTGGTGTGGGTGAGAATATCAAAAGGAAGCAACAAAAAAAATGCTGAATTGTCAAAATTATATAAATAAATAAATATATATACAACTCTGGAAATAAATTAACCATACCATACATAACATGCCAACTTTATTTATAAAGCACTTTAAAACAACCACAGCTGATACAAAGTTCTGTACATAAAATAGATAAAAACAAATAAAAACTCTTACAGTTTAAAACAAACAAACATACAATGTAAAACTAGATCTCGCTGGAGTTGAAGGCCAAGTAAAATAGATGGGTTTTAAGACGAGCTTTAAAAGTGGACAGTGAAGGGGCCTCTCTGACCTGCAAAGGCAGGTCATTCCATAACTTAGGACCCACGACAGAGATGGAACCAGTTGTTAAGGGAAATTGGATCAGAGACTTTTCAATTCTCTGATCCGACCGTTCTAGAAGGAAGCTCCCCTTTGAGCTTCCTTCTAGATCTCGGTACCTCCAAGAGCAACTGATCTGCAGACCGAGAGACCGATAAGGTATGTAAGGGTGAAGAAGCTCAGTGAGGTAAGCCGGGGCAAGACTATGCAGCGATTTAAAAATGGATCCTAAAATATACAAGCAGCCAGTGAAGTGAAGCCAAGACAGGGGTTACATGCTCTCTCTTTCGAGTTCCTGTCAAAAGCCATGCAGTCGCATTCTGAACCAGTTGCAGATGTGAGAGCAGTGACTGACTGACTCACAGATATAGAGAGTTACAGTAATCCAGTTGAGTCTAAATAAAAGCGTGGATCACTGTTTCAAAATGCTGCCTGGAAAGAAAAGATTTCACTTATGCCTTAAATGATACAAACTGGACTTAACCGTGACTCTAATTTGGCTGGGTCCGAACACCATCACCTCTGTTTTCTTTTTATTAAAATTTAAAAAGTTCAAAGCCAACCAAGCTTTAATATCACTTAGACATGCCAGGAGATGTTTGATTGACTGGACATCTTTCTGCTTCAGGGGCACATAAATCTGGCAATCATCAGCATAACAATGAAATGAAATCCCATGTTTCCTGAAGATAGATCCCAGAGGCAGTAAATAAAGACAGAAAAGCAGTGGGCCCAGAATTGAGCCCTGTGGTACAGCATATGGCATTGAAGCAGTAGATGATTCAGAGTATCTAATATTTACTGAAAATGTTCTGTCCTCCAGGTAGGACCTGAACCAATTAAGAACAGTGTCACCAATACCTACAATATGCTGTAATCGCAATATTAAAATGTCGTGGTCGACTGTATCAAAGGCAGCAGTTAGGTCAAGTAAAATCAGACCAACATGAGAATCACATGCCAGAAGGATGTCATTAAAAACTCTTATTAATGCAGATTCTGTGCTATGAAACCTGATTGAAAAACCTCCAGAATACCATCCTCATCTAAAAACTGTTTCAGCTGACGGTATACAATTTTTTCTAAAACCTTAAAAAGAAAAGGCAGCTTCGAAATAGGCCAATAATTTGCCAGAACAGTAGGATCAATGGCAGGTTTTTTAAGCAGTGGCTGCACTACTGCATGTTTAAAACTAGCATGGACCACACCTGAGGACAGACTGCTATTTATAATTGCACAAACAGGCTACACTATGCTAGATAAAGTATCTTTAAAAAGTCGTGGAGGGACAGGATCACGGAGGGAACCTCCTGGCTTAATATGGCCAACCACATCCTCTAAAAGTGAAACAGTCACAGGCTCAAACTGAGTGAAAGCAGCAGAGCGAGGGACCGAAACAGAGGGATCAGAGTCAGGAGCTATGGTAAGAGCCCTGCCACTACCAACCTTCTCAATAAAGAAACACAGAAAATTCTCACACATGTCAGGAGAAGCTTCCAAACAGGCATTCTGTGGAGTATTAAGCATAGAGTCAATGGTGTTGAATAAGACACGTGGGTTATGGCTGTTTGAGGAGATAATATTAGCCAAATATTCCCTTTTTGCCTCTTTAACTGTGCTCTGGTAGAGTCGCCAAGAGTCTTTTAAAATTTGAAAAGTAACCTGCAGTTTATCCTTTTTCCACCTGCATTCAACACGGCAACATTCCTTCCTCACAGCACGAGTTCTGTCATTAAACCAAGGCTCAGGGTTAATCTTTGGCTGCCTAGTTTTTAAGTGATCAGAGAAACTGATCACTGTTGTTATTGTTGGAGATATCAATATACATGTGTGTTGTCCTGATAAGCCTCTGGTAAAGGACTTTTTAAACCTCCTGGACTCCTTTAACCATGTACAGGCCGTATCTGGCCCGACACATGAGCACGGACACACACTGGACCTGGTTATAACCAGTGGCAGATGAGCACATTCATCTAAAAAAAATAATATTGATGTTTTAACTAAAAAAGAATTCAGAAATCAATATTTGGTGGAACAACCAGGAGGTTTTCAACAGGTTCAGTGCAGTGATCTCTTCATTTTTTTCCAGAGTTGTACATATATATACATTTGTATACATTATCTGATTGAAAAGTATAGCATAACAAACACAATACGTTTTAAAACATATTATTTTGATTGGCATTTACATTTTAGCATCAGATGATTGCTCTAAATACCCTCAGCACATTCTTTTTGTGTCAGGTTTTAAGTTTTCTGTGTCTCTGAGTTTCCATGTTGTCCTGTCTCCTCTTGATTACTCCCAGGTGTTTCTCGTCCCTTAATCACCCTCTGTGTATTTTCTCCACCTGTTTTCCTCGTCGGGTCCTGGTCAGATGTGTTGTCAGTCCGTTCGTGTTGCCTGTTGCCACCAGTGCTGAGCTCTTGTCTTCTGCTAAACTGTGCTGCCAGGTTTTTGGACTGTTTTGGATTTACTTGTTCATTTTGTCACCATTAAATCATCACTTCATTCATTCTACCTGGGTCTCTTGCGTCTGCCTCACCACCTCACGCCACTATTCATGACAGTTTGCATGTAACTCACCAACTTTACAGTTTCCTACCTGATATTTTTATGAACTGACTGGAGCTGTCTGAGAAATCTTCTATGTTTTACACACAGAAGAATACAACCTGTGGCTGTAGGATTTTTTTTTTATTATCCCCCATCAAGAATATATTATTTTGGCATGATAGAGAATAACAGAATAACAGAACTGCAGACTGTGATAGAATGACTGAAGGAAAGGGTCAAATCAAAACTTATGAGATTTGAGCAATTTATTTTTATTGTAATCGCCATAAGCCCTAGCAATAACTAAAAGGATATATTAAAAAAATATTTAAGTACATAGACACAAAGCAGTGTCTATATGGAGCGTAAGATGCAGTCTGACAAAAAACACAATAATTGACTAATTATATATCTTCCCTGCCCAGCTTTATGTTGTTCTTAGATATTTCAAAGGTGTGTTTGGAGCTGAGAGATGGCTGATTGTTAAAATACAAAGTGATCTTGACTGACTTCTATAGTTCACTAAAGCAAACAGTACTTACTTCAGCTGAAACCATTTTCCAGCCTCCCTTTGGCCCGCTGCCACCTCTTCATGGACCAGGTCTTTAGGTGTTTCCCTCAGAAGGTACGAGGAAATAAATTTCACATTTTAAATACCATAGAGTGAAAACAAGGAAACGCAGTTGGCAAAATAAACAGCACATAAAGTGAAAAAGCCAAGGGCGTGGCGGCATTGACAGCCAAACCCGTACATACTACAGGACGGGTTCAGGAGCTGATGCGGATGATTGGACCGCCAGGACCCGCATGAGGCAAAATCATTCAGGACTGGAGACGCCTCCATGCAGGAACCGAACCGAATCCCCAAACAGTCGCAGTGAAAGTTCTTGTAAGCATGGCCTCCAGGTCTCTCTGCTGACTCCAGCTTCCATCAACTCCTTTGTTTCTACTTTGTGACCAGGAGCTTCTGCTGTCCATCCTTCCCCCATAGATGACTCCCAGCTGCACACAGCCATAAAACCAAAGAAGAGTGTTTAGTACCCCGGCCTTGGGTTTTTTTTGTTGTTGTTGTTGTTGTTTTTGAGTGTGTGTGTGTGTGCGTGTGCGTGTGTGTGTGTGTGTGTGTTTTGTTTTGTTTTGTTTTTGTGACTGTACGCCAGCTGAACTTGGACCACAGCGTGCTGGCTCCCGGTGAGAGTGCACTTGATGGATCAGTCCCTTATGCACTCATGAATGCGACTTGGACGCGTTTTCAAAACGGGGCTTGTTTTTTATTTGTGAAAAATCTGCTTTCGGTTGTGCATCGTCTCAGGCAAAGACGAATGTGACACGAATGTTTCTCCATCGGCTCTGGTTCAGATAACGGCGCTGGGAAGTAATTGAAAGCAAACAACTCCGTCGGACAAACAGCAGTTCAAGTGGAGACCCTCTGCAAATGGGGTTTAACTGAGTTGCGTCCAAGAACAACAATGCATGCAAATGTAGCGTTGGTAGTGTAACAGTTACGGGCTAAGTGGCTAACTACGGCTACAAAAGCAGTGTCAGAAGAGTGGCCCTTTAAGGAGTCTGAGGGTGTGAACGGAGAAAAAACAGAACAGTCCTTTTAGCTTTGGTGTAGATATATTACGTGATTTGTATAAAAAAACAGACAATTGCACCAGTACAGGGAGACAAGATAATTGACTCAAAATAAATTGGTATGCAAGATCATAAAGTCCATAGTCCTTTTATCCTTAGCTCACCATCTTCAGATCCGGCTGAGGATC